TATATATTTATGAAACACAAATGAAATATGAGTCTTGGGAAATCAGGCCAAATTTCACAAGACAACTGGAATAAACACAAAGATCCTTTTCTTCCCCCCTTTTTCAATTTCATCATAACTGGTTTTTCATGGGGTTCAACTTCTGATTTGGCCTTTTGCTTCTTTCTATCCCCATAAATCTCTTAATTGTCCCCATTACTAAAGCCATGCAAAGGAAAGATACAGGCCACTTTCATGGTGTGAATGAAGCATTCCCATGGTGTCTCTTGACAAAATTAATTCCTGTGGGCAGCCTCTCTCAAAGTCCTCTAACAGAAGCCCTGTACCACTCAGAGAAAGTTTTGATATTTCCCTAGGTGGTGTGTCTCAAGCTAGAATAACAAAAAGAGACTCCTTACTGAGAAAGTTCTTGTGGATTTTCAATTATTGCTTAAATTATTTATTTTTATTTACTTATGTATTCTTTATACCACAAAACAAAAAATAAGTTTCTTGTAGCTTCTATATATTTATGAAACACAAATTAGCAAAAGAAGTAAAAATAATACTATAAATTCCAATAGTACTCAAAATAACATTAATTGAATGTAATAGATAATGCTTGGTTTTCTAAACCTAAATCCTCACAAGTTGAAAGTTCTGGATATAGCTGTAAAAATCACACTCTTTATTCTAAACCTATGTCTCATCAGTTAAAATATTCCCACTTGTTGCTTATATAATCATCATCATTGAATATAACATATTATCTGAAGGCTTATGGCAAAACCATTCATACGTGGTCATTCATTATTCTTATTAGAATGTCAAAAGTAAAAACACACAATTTAAAAGTTCCTGTAAAGGCCTGGAGATGATGAAGCTCAGTAACAAACATTTGCACAGCATGAGCAGGTCCTGGGTCTGATCCCCAACTCTGAAAAGAAGTTTCCTGTAGGGAAGAGTGGTACGTGTCTGTAATTTCAGCATTTGAGAAGCTTAAGCAGGAAAATGCAAGTTTCTGGCCAGCCTGGCCTACATAGCATCACCCATCTCAAAAGCTATGGGCAGGAGATGAGCGAGATCCGCAGCACCATATGGTCTAGTGGAGAACTTAATGACTCTGAGATACTCTAGCATACTCAGGATACTAGAAGAGATGAGTTAGTTAACACCTGAAGGTTTGGTGACAAGGGGCGTCAGTGCAGAGGTAGGACCCTAACTGGAATACATGCAGTACCCTGGACCACACACATGTATAATGGGAACTTCTCATTAATAAAAAAAGTTATTCCAGCAACTCAAAGAACCACTTGCCTGAAGAGCCCAGCCTCTTCCTTCCTATGGCCTGGTTCCCAGTGCTGCATACATTCTATGCTCTTCAGCTAGAACTACCAGTCCCAGAGATAGACATCAGGTAGCTTGAAGAGACAGCATGGTGCCATCTTTGACAATACCAGGGTCACATCAGGAGTTATAGCACATACACCTCCCCCACCATTATTCTGAAAGGCAGCCTTTAGAAACCATAAAACGTCTTAAGTTCCTTCCAGATGCTCTAGTATTCAGGAGAAGTGCTTGGAAATTTACTCGTGAGTTCTAGTTGCTCTAAATCGATTTTCATGTTTGGGGGATGGAGGGATGATGAAGTTCTGTGCAGCTGGTAGACGTATTCACATGTCTACGTTGATGATGTCAGGTCCATGGTGTTTCACAAGGGGTTGTCTGTGGCTGCCTGTGGCTCTCTTCTGCAGAATGAAAAAATGAGAGATTGGTTCAATCAAAGGAAGGTGTTCATCTGGCACCTTTGGGCAAAATTATAGCAATATTTGGCTCTATTGGTTTCTAAAGTGGTATGACTGTTTCTCCTAGGCAGCTGCTCTGGTCCACATCTACTTAGATGGCTCTGTCTTGCTGACTCATGGTGGCTGTGAACTGGGACAAGGCCTACACACCAAAATGATTCAAGTGAGACAAGTGTCCGGTTTCTCCATTGTGAAGTGTATGGCACGGTACCGTCAACATGCCAACCATTTCCAGTTGAGCCAGAGAAATACCACACACTAAATACACAAGTCAATTGAAGACTTGTCAGAACACAAAAATGCAAGGGGATGAGGAAGTGGGTGCTGGAATTGAGAAAATGTGTTTTTATTCCTTCTTCAGCAAAAGAATGGAGTCCTTAGGCTTTCTGAAAAAAACAATTCCAGTTTTCAAAGATAAAACACTTTAAACTTCACAGTGACTGCTCAAAGCAATAATGTGCTTATGAACATCTGCAATTAGAAATTAATGTGTTTTACATGAAAGTTTTTACTCATACGAGTTCACAATCTACTTAAGGAACCTCATTCACACAACTGGCCATTATATAGGCTAGTTCAAAGAAATATTTCTCTATTGCTATTGAAAAAATTTAACATTATTGCAATGGAGAAACTTCCTTTCTTTTTCATGTGAGGTAACAGCTGTTAAATGTGATTTGAATAAAAAATGTGCATGATGCCAGGCAGGGTGGTACACATCTTTAATCCCAGCACTTGGGAGGCACAGGCAGGCAGATCTCTGTGAGTTCAAGGCCAGCCTGGTCTATATAGTGAGTTCCAGGTCGGCTGGGGCTACAGGAAGACTCTGTCTCAAAAAGACCAAAAAAATAAATAAAATTGCATGACACATATATACGAAGATGCTGTGACATAACCCATTACTTTGTTAATCTGAAATGTTATTATTTTACATTTGTAGTGTGTCTGTGTATCTATGTATCTGTGTGTCCCTGTCTGCCACAATATGTGCATGGAAATCAGAAGACAACTTTTGGAGAGTCGGTTCTCTCCTTCCACCATGTAGATTCTAAGGAACTCAAGTCATCAGGCTTATCAGTAGGCACCCTTACGCACTGAGCCATCTTGCTGGTCCTAAAACACTAATTTTTTAAATGTGTATTGGGGGGACGGTTCTCAATGAGAAATAGAAAAAATACATTAAAGAAAAAGCATTATTTGATAAAGTTCTTGGAATTAGAATACCACAGAAATCCCTCGGACCTTTTTAAAAAAATATTTTATTTATTATTTTTATTTTATGTGCATGAGTGTGTTGCTTGCATGTATGTAAGTGCACCCGTGTCATACAATGCTTGCAGAAGTCAGAAGAGGGTATCAGATTCCCCTGGAACTGGAGTTAACAATAGTTGTTAGCTGCCATGTGGGTGCTGGGAACTGAACCCAGGTCTTCTGCAAGAACAGCCATCTCTTAACTGCTAAGCCATCTCTCTCCCAGACCTCAGACCTTTTTTGACCATGCCCTGCTTCTTTATACTCCTAGGTCTGCAAAATGTCCCATAAAGGAGACACATTCTGTTAAATTGCCTGTAAACCACACAGAGAAGGGTACAAATGAAGCTGTGGGTCCAGGGCGCCAAGCTGGCCTGCTTGTGTCCTCTAAACTAGACATCCCAGGATGGCCAGGTCACTGTGTGGCTTTCATGAAACAGGTATAAAAGAAAGTTTAGTTGGCCATCTGTCTCCATTTTAGAACAGTGTGTATTCAACAGCACCATTTAAAACACAGGCTGAATGTTTGTCCTTATAGCAGGATTGCTAACCTTTAGAACGTCAAGGTTGTTCATTTGGAAGCAGGCTTAAAGTCAATGAAATAAGCACTGCTTTTCTTCTGCATCCTGGCAGGTGGCTAGTCGAGAACTGAACATCCCCCAGTCCTACGTGCACCTGTCTGAAACAAGCACCATCACGGTGCCCAATGCCATCTTCACAGCAGGCTCCATGGGAACAGACATCAACGGGAAGGCTGTGCAGGTGACTTTTCTTTCATTGCTCAGTCACCAAGGACAGTGGTGAGGGGCTTTTGTTCCACTTGTGCTTTGTGGAAGATGAAACTGGGACCAAGAGAGGTGAAAATTCTAATTTGCTAAGGTAAGGGGTGACCGAGCCCATTTTTCACATTTTGCTCGGATATTGTTTCATTTGTAAGCACAAGCAGCCAAGGGACCCACAGAATGAGGCATAATGTAAGAATTATAGAAGTATTGCCAGGTCACCATTGGCACAAAATTAAATTCTTTCTCTGGAGTCCAAAAGTATAGGAAAACTCAATGGAACAGAAGTCTCTTCCACACCCTCTCTACCCCTCAGCCGGTACGGAGGGTCCTGTCTGCATGGAGGGCGGCAGCTGCCATCCACTTGCCCTTCAGACCCTCCACAGCTCTTCAAAGGGCTTCTCCGATGGGCTATGAGGAACTTTAGCTCCTAAGACTCACAGCTTCTCAAGGATCTAGATCCTTAGCCAATCAGTGCTCTCATCAGATTTTCAAAGGAACAAGTACAGGAAACAAGTACCAAAGTTGAGGTTCTGTCGACCGCACAGGACAATGGTTCCACTCTGTCGCTCATAGATTACCAACTGACTGGGTAGGACTGAGAAGGATAAGGGTCATTTCAGGATCCTGGAGCTCTTTTTTTTTTTTTCATTTTTATTGATTCCTTGAGAATTTCACACAATGCATTTTGATCATATTCAGATTCCCGCCCCCATCCCCACTCCCATCTTACTACCCACCCTTGTCTTCATGACCTCTATTATTATTTTTTAAGACCTATCAAGACTAATTTGTGTTCCCAATGGCTCTTGGTTGTGGGTCCCTCCCCCTGGAACCTGGTCAACCTACCTAGAGTCACACCCTTAAAGAAAACTGCGCTCCTTCTCCCAGTAGCTCTTAATTGCCAATAGTTCCCCAGCTGCTCTCAATTGCCAGCTAGGTTTGCAGATTCTTACCCACCTCCCCTCTTTATGCTGGTGCTCTGTCTGGCTTGAGCTTGCATAGGTCTCCTGCATGCTGTCACAATTACTGTGAGTTCATATGTGCAACAGCCCTGCTGTCTGGAAAACAGTTTCCTTAAAGTCATCCACCACCTCTGGGCTCTTACAGTCTTTCTGCCCCCTCTTCTGCAATGATCCCCAAGCCTTGGGAGGAGAGAGTGTGATATACTGTCCCATTTAGAGCTGAGCACTCTGCGGTCACTTATTCTTCACATAGTGACCATGTGTTGTGGGTCTCGGTGTTAATCGTCATCTGCTATAAGAAGCTTCTCTGGCCAGTCTTGCCACATATAGATTTTAACTGACTGGGTAATGCTGAAAATGAGAAGGGTAATTTCAGGACCCTAACTCTTTTAAAATCCAAAATCCTTTTGTGTAGGAGTCCAGGCAATGGCTATAAAAGAAAAAAAACTACTTATAGTAAAATCCTAAATCATTTTAATTCAAAACAATAGGCAGATTAGGTAAATCAACATGCACCATATCAAAAACAGGGGTTGACTCCCATTCATAGTCTCTGCAGACTGGGGTGTATATTGGGGCGGGGGTACCTGTTGACAAGTAGATTCTAAATACATACTGAAATATAGATGACCAGGAATGACCACGTCAAACTTGGAAGAGGGGCAGGGAGGCTTGGAGTTGGTAGACTTGTACTCTAATCTCTCAAAACTATTTCTACAGTTTCACCAGCAAGGACACCATGATGTCTGTGTCCAGACTGGGCATTAGAACACTAGCAGAGAAAATACCCTTGACCCTTGACAATAGAGACCCTACAGTGCAATAAACAAAGATACTATTGGAGTTAGGTAGCAATGGATGCATTGGGTATTTATTTAAAAGACATAAAGAGAACCAGCTCCAGATAGGTTGTTGGTCTCAATATAAACGCTGAATCAACAAAGCTGTTAGACAAAAGGATGGAAGAAAAATAAACAAATGGGTGTTGACTAAATTGTAAATATTAAATTCTACAAAGCAAAGGATATCAAGTGGAGAAAATTCATTTTATTATGGCTTTGTCTTCCCAATTTTGTCTTCAACTGGGGTGGCTAAATATAAAATTAGGGGGAATAAAATCTAGCCCCAGTTGGCACCCTTAGCATGGGTTCCACCCAGGATCCTTGGGAGGCTGCAAAGTCAGCATGACATAAAATGATTGGAAGGTCACGGGGAACACAGTGCCTGACCCAAGCATGACCCTCTGTAACCCCAGACAGCTGTATCAGCTTCACACCTGCAGTCTTGTTTTCAAAAGTTGATGCCAGTCTGGCAGCATTCAAGGGCTTGTGTTAGGCTCTCTAAGAGGCTTTAAAGTACCTCTCACTGGCCTGTGGTACTCTAGTCCGTTCCAGCGGAATCTTTCCCTTTTGCCAACTATAATATCCCACTAATTTAAATGGTCAGCTTATCTTAGGAGACACTCAGGCTGTTATCTAAAGTTATGCACAGGAGGGTGGTAGTCAGGACATGGTAAGAGGAAGATCGGATACTTGGGAAGGTGTGGCAACTCAGGGACAGGCTTACCCTACGTATTTCACCCTGTTGGAAGGCATCTACTTGTAATTGGGTCAGTGGTTGTAAAACATCACAGACCAGCAAGGATAATCTACAAAAACGGAGTTCTGTAATGCATGGGAAGTCATGAACCATCTCTCAAAGAGAAGATGACAGGAAAGAAGTAATGGAAGCCCTTAGAAGACATGTAGCATGTACTGAGGCTGAGATGGGTGAGAAAGAGCAGAGACGTAGAGGGACTCACATTTAATTAAGAGTGGACACCAACCTGAGATCTTTGGTGCTCAGAGGTCTCAAAAAAGACTTTAATAAATTTTTACTTTCATCTCAATAAAAAAATCTTTTTTTTTTCTTTTTTAAGACAGGGTCTCATGTATCCCAGACTGGCCTCAAGTTTGCTGTGTTACTAAGGATGACCTTGAACTTCTGATCCTCCTGATTCTATCTCCCAAATGGGATTACAGGCCTGCACAAACACATCCAGTTTTGTGTGATACTAGAGATCGAACACAGGGCTTCATGCATACTAGGCAAGCACTCTACCAACCAATAGAAATCCCTTTGCCACATCCCACTCAATACTCAATAGAAATCCTTTTAAATTAAAATGAGCTTATTAGGGATCATCAAAATGACCACTCTATAAGAGACTATTACCATGAGATCTGTCTGTCCACATTTAGGCCAAAAATGTATTTGGAGTCAAGACAAGAAAAAAGTATATGATCCAGAAGTTGTGGCTTACTTCTCTATTCCCAGCACCAGGGAGGCTAAGGCAGGAGGAGTGTCATGCAGTCAAGGCTATTCTGGGGCTACCTATTGAGTTCTAGGCCAGCTTGGGCTACACAGTGAGACACTGTCTCCAAAAATAAAAAAAAAAATTTTTTTTAATTTCCAGAGGAAGTAAAAAGCTAACATTTAAATATTTTTAATATGTATATAATTAGTCTTGTAGTTTTGTGTTCGGTAAGCACTGGGCTACAGCCACAGCCCTTCCTTTTTTTTTTTCTTTCTTTTTTTTTTTTCTTTTGAGACAAAGTCTCGCTGTATAACGCAGACTGACCTCAAACTCTCTATCCTCCTGCCTCAGCCTCCGCAGTGCTGGGATTTTAGGTATGTGCCACCATGCCTGACTTGTTTTCTCTGATGAACAGGAAAAAAAACATAATAGGATGAATTTGGGGGGGGCGGGTCTCTTTGAGACAGGGTCTCCCTGTAGCCCCAATGGTCCTGGAACTCACTATGTAGACCAGGCTGGCCTCGAACTCACAAAGATCTGCCTGCCTCTGCCTCCCAAGTGCTGGGATTAAAGGTGTGTGCCACCACGCCTGGCATAGGAAATTCTTATTAAAGGAAAATTCTAACTTAGAAACTGCCAGGAGCTGGAGAGATGGCTTATTGGTTAAGAGCACTGGCTGCTCTTGCAGAGGACCCAGGTTTGATTCCCAGCACACCCATGCAGCTAACAACTGTTCATAACTCGAATTCTAGGGGATCCCAATGCCCTCTTCTGACATCCATGGGCATTGCACCACAGAAGTGCACTTACACACATGCAGCAAATATGCTCATACACATAAAATAAAAATTTAAAAATTAAATTTAGAAACCACTAAAAATAAAGAGAAATAGATAAATTTGACTTAATAAAATAAAAACTTCGGGGCTGGAGAGATTACTCAGCAGTTAAAAGCACTTACTCCTCTTTCAGAGGACCAGAGTTCAGTTTCTAGCATGCACATCAACCAGCTCACAACTCTCTTTAACTCTAGCTCCAAGGAATCCAATGCCCCCTTCTGCCCTCTGCAGGCTATGGAGCACACTTATACATATACACACAGAGAGACACATATACATACACATAAATAAAATAAATCTTTAAAAGAGTAAACTGTGTATACCATAAACAAAAGTTAACACACAATAAAGAAAATAGTCACAACATATATGAGACAAGAAAAATCAAAACAAGCTGGACATAGTGGCTCACGTTTATAATCCCAGCACTCAGAGGCTGAGGCAAGAGGACCACCATGAGTTTAAAGCCAGTCAGGGCTAAAGAGCAAGTAAGACCTTGCCTCAAAACAACAATAAGAAGGAAAAGAAGGAAGAGAAGGGAGGGAGG